CCAGGATCATGACCCGAGCCGAAGGCAGTTGCCCAACCAACTGAGCCACCCAGGCGCCCAGCGGCTGACTCTTGATTTTGGCTTCGGTCATGATCTCGGGGTCATGGGATCTCTGCCCTGCATCAGGCTTCTCACTCTGCAGGGATTCTCCTTGAGATCCTCTCCCTCTGCGCTCTGTCCCTTCCCCCAGTTGCACATGTGCGCGCACGCGCACACACACACTCTCTCTAAAATAAATCTTAAAAAAAACCCCAAAAAACCCAGGAAGAAGAAGAAGACGATGTGTGGCTGCAAATTCACACAGCTGGCCTGGGGAGCTCTCTGCTCAGGTACCATGCAAAGGATGGACTTCTTGGACCCGACCAAATAGCTAAGATAAATAGAGCCCACTAGCAATAAAGGAGTGAGAAACAGCAAGAGCACATAATTGTTTTTAATGGATATTATATGTGCGCAGTAATACAATCAAAAAGTACAAAGGTAAATTAAAAAGTAGATCTTATTCACCCTTAACTCCAACCCCCATTAAAGCAACCATTCTTATTGTCATTTCTGTACATCTTCTAGAGATAACTGGATATACAAAGAAGTGTTTGTATGTATATGTACATAGATAAAATGAATATAAATATATTCTTTATTTTTATTGAGAAATAATACATAACACTGTATTTTCGGTGTACAACATAATGATATATATATGCATTGTAAAATGATCACCACTATTGGTTTAGGTAATAGCCATCATCACACAAAGTTAGAAATTTTTTTCATGTAATGAGAACTTTTAAGATTTATGCTTTTTTTTTTTAAGATTTACTGTTTTAGCAACTTTCAAATATACAATCAGTATAGTTAACTATGGTTAACAATAATATACTTTACATCCCCATGACATTTTAACTAGAAGTGTGTACGTTTTGACCCCCTTCACTCATTTTGCACACCCTCTACCCTCACCTCTGATAACCATCAATCTGTTCTCTGTATGAGTTCAGGTTTGTTTTTAAATTTTTTTTTAATTAAAAAATTTTTTTAGATTCTACATATAAATGATTTATTATATGGTATATGTCTTTTCCTGTCTGACTTATTTCACTTACCATAATGCCCTCAAGTTCCATTGATGTATCACATAGCAGAATTTCCTTATTTTTATGGCTAATATTCGTGTGTGTGTGTGTGTATCACATTTTCTTCATCCATTTATTGTCAGTGGACATTTTCCATGTCTTGGCTATTGTACATTTTCTAGTTCCTTGAGGTATAAATTTAGGTTGGTAGGGATCTTTGTTTTTTTTTTAATGTAGGCATTTATTGCTATGAACTTCCCTGTTAAGACAACTTTGGTTCCATCATTAGTTTTGGTATATTGTATTTCCATTTTCATTTGTCTCAAGATATTTTAAAATTTCTCTTTTGATTTCTTCTCTGACTCATTGGTTGTTCAGTAGCATGTTGTATAATCTCCACATATTTGTGAATTTTCATATTTTCTTCCTGTAATTGATTTCTAGTTTTATACCATTGTTGTCAGAATAGATACTTGACAAGAATTCAGTCTTTTGAAATTTATTAAGACTTGTTGTGGCCTAATATCTACCCTGGAGAATATTCCATGTGCATTTAAGAAGAATGTGTATTCTGCTGATTTTGGATGGAATGTTCTATAAATGTTGTGTGTTTGGCCTCATGTGTCATTTAAGGCCAATGTTTCCTTATGCATTTTCTCTCTGCATGATCTAGCCATTGATGGAAGTGGGTAATGAAGTCCCCTACAATTATTATTGTATTGCTGTCCATTTCTCACTTTAGGTCTTTTAATATTTGCTTTATATATTTAGGTGCATGTATGTTGGGTACACAAATATTTACAAATGTTACGTCCTTTTGTTTGACCCCTTTATCATTATATAGTGATCTTCTTTGTCTCTTACTAGAGACTTTGTCTTAAAGTCTGTTTTGTCTGATACAAGTATAGCTATCCCAGCTTTATTTTGGTTTCCATTTGCATGGAATATCTTTTTCAGGACCTTCACTTTCAGTTTGTGTGTGTCCTTAAAGCTGAGGGAGTCTCTTTTAGGCAGCATATCACTGGGTCTTATTTTTTAATCCATTCAGCCACTTTGTGTATTTTTTTTTTTTAAGTAGGCTCCATGCCCAATGTGGGGCTTAAACTTACAACCCTGAGATCAAGAGTTGCATGCTGTAGTGACCAAGCCAGCCAGGTGCCCCCCCCCCCCCATTTTGTGTATTTTGATTGGAAATTTTAGTTCATTTACATTTAAAGTAGTTATTGGTACGTGTGTACTTACTGCAGTTTTGTTAATTGTTCTCTATTTAGTAATTCCTCTGTTTCTTTTCTTGCTTTGTGATTTGATAATTTTCTGTAGTGGTATCCTTAGATTCCTTTCTTTTTAAAAATTTTTATTTATTTTTTAATTATGTTCAATTAGCCAACATATTTGAGAGAGAGAGAGAGCACAAGCAGGGGGAGGGGCAAAGGGAGAGGGAGAAACAGTCTCCCCACTGAGCAGGGAGCCCAATGTGGGACTTGATCCCAGAACTGTGGGATCATGACCTGAGCCAAAGACAGATGCTAACCAACTGAGCCACTCAGGCGCCCTGGGTTTTCTGTTCTGTTCCATTGATCTGTGCGTCTATTTTTGTGCTGGTACCATACTGTTTTGATCACTACAGCTTTGTAATATATCTTGAAGTCTGGGATTGTGATACCTCCAGCTTTGCTTTTCATTTTCTTTTTTTTTTAACATGAAATGTTAAAGTTTTTATTTAAATTCTAGTTAACATATAGTGTAATAATCAGTTCAGGAGTAGAATTTAGTGATTCATCACTTACATATAACACCCAGTGATCATCACAAGTGCCCTCCTTAATATCCAGTCCCCTGCTTTTCTGTTTCAAGATAGCTTTGGTTATTCAGGGTCTTTTGTGGTTCCATATAAATTTTAGTATTATTTCTTCTAGTTCTATGAAAAATGTTGTTGGTGTTTTGATAAGGATTGCATTAATTGTGTAGATTGCTTTTGGTAGTATAGACCTTTTAACAATATTCTTCCAATTCATGAGCATGGAATGTCTTTCCATATCTTTGTGTCACCTTCAGTTTTTTTCATCATTATTTTATAGTTTTCAGAGTACAGATCTTTCACCTCTTTGGTTAGGTTTATTCCTAGGTATCTTATTGTTTTTGGTCCAGTTGCAAATGAGATTGTTTTTTTAATTTCTCTTTCTGGTCCTTCATTTTTAGTGTATAGAAATGCAATGGACTTCTGTATACTGATTTTGTATCCTGTGACTTTACTGAATTCATGTATCAGTTCTAGCAGTCTTTTGTTGGAGTCTTTTGGGTTTTGTATATATAGTATCATGTCACCTGCAAATAGTGCAAGTTTTACTTCTTCCTTACCAATTTGGATGCCTTTTACTTCTTTTTGTTGTCTGATTGCTGTGGCTGGGTCTTCCAGTATTATGTTGAATAAAAGTGATGAGAGTGGACATCCCTGTCTTGTTCCTGACCTTAGAGGAAAAGCTCTCAGTTTTTCCCCATTAAGGATTATGTTAGCTGTGGGTTTTTCATTGATGGCCTTTATTATGTTGAGGTATGTTCCCTCTAAACCTACTTTTGTTGAGGTTTTTTTTTTTTATCATGAATGGATGTTGTACTTTGTCAAATGCTTTTTCTGTATCTATGGAAATATCAAATGGTTCTTATTGTGACTTATCATTGATTTTCAAATATTGAACCACCCTTGCAACCCAGGAATAAATCCCACTTGATTGTGGTGAATGATTTTTTAAATGTAATGTTGGATTTGGTTTGCTAATACTTCATGGAAGATTTTTGAGCCTATGTTCACCATAGATATTGGCCTATAGTTGTCTTTTTTTGTAATGTCTTTATCTGGTTTTGGTATCAGGGTAATGCTGGCCTCATAGAATGCATTTGGAAGCTTTCCTTCATCTTCTATTGTTTTGGAATAGTTTGAGAAGAGTAGGTATTAACTCTTTAAATGTTTGGTAGAATTTGCCTGTGAAGCCAAAAGCCATCCTGGACTTTTGTTTGATGGGAGTTTTTTGATTACTGATTCAATTTCTTTGCTGATAATTGGCCTGTTTAAATTTTCTATTTTTTCCTGTTTCAGTTTTTTTTTTTTCAGCATCAGCTTGATTTATTTTCCTAGTCTTTTTTTTCTCAGAAGGAAAAATAATTTCATCAAGAAAACAAACGTTCCTGCCAAAATGAAAGAATTTCTTTTAATGCTTTTCTTTAAAAAAAAAAAAAAAGTCGGGCGCCTGGGTGGCTCAGTCGACTAAGCGACTGACTTCAGCTCAGGACATGATCCTGGACTCACAGGATCGAGCCCCGCATCGGGCTCCCTGCTCGGCGGGAAGCCTGCTTCTCCCTCTTCCACTCCCCCTGCTTGTATTCCCTCTCTCGCTGTGTCTCTCTCTGTCAAAGAAATAAATAAAATCTTTAAAAAAAAAAAAAAAGCCGACATAGGTATAAATGCAATAGTTAACTGATCCTGTTTGCTGATGTCCTTTTCATGTTCCACAGAAGGTGGCATCTATTGGTCCAGCATCTTCTCCTGTTTCTTCCCTTCCTTTTTCTTCTTCTTAGATTCTGCTTGAGGTTTGGGCTTAGTCAGCTTGCCACAGGGCTTGGAGATGGTGACTGTCTTCTGGCAGTCGGCGTTGTGGAGGGCTCTCTTCAGACTTCCAGTTCTGGTCGCATTCTCCCCAGGCCTGGAACTGGTATTTGCACTCTGCTCCAAATTGCTTTTTCCAGTTGCAGGGGATCTTACATCTCTGGGTCTTCATGGTTTGCTTACACTCGGCTCCAGTACGGGTGCCCTCCCGGGTGCCCAGGCCACAGTCCCCACTGGTGGGCACGCACACACTCCACTGCCATTCCCCACAGTCAGACTTCTTCACTTTTTTTTCTGCCTTCTCTTTCTTCCCTGCTTCAGCAGTGTCCACAGCTGCCAAGATGAAAACGAATGCCAGGAAGGCAGCTGCAAGTTTTCGACGCGGCTGCACGCACTGTTGGTACTGCATTTTGGAGTTGCAAACGCTGCACGCGCTCGGGCTGCCTTTGTTGAACGCGGCGAGGCTCTGCGCTCTGTCGAGTGCCCGTGGCCGCTGGCCGCCCGCCGCGGCTGCGCCCTCGCTCCCGGATGGTGACGGCCCGGGCTCCCGCTCCCCTGTGCCCGCTTGGGCTCGTCCTCCGCGCGGCGGCGCCCTTGGCGGGATTTGGGACGGGCAGGCTGGGACCCCGATCCAGCCTCGGCCTCCGCTGCGCCCTGCCGGGGAGGGAACGGAAGCCCTGTTTCAGTTTTGATAGGTTGTGTGTTTCTAGGAATTGATCCACTTCTAGGCTGTCCAGTTTTTTGGCATATAGTTCTTCCTAATACTCTTATAATTTCTGTGTGGTGTTGTTATTTCTCCTCTCTTATTTGTGATTTTATTTATTTGGATCCCTTCTCTTTTTTTCTTGATAAGTCTGATAAAAATAAAAAAAAATAAAATCATAAAAAAATAAAATTTATCAATTTTATTGATTTTTTTTTTCAAAGAACCAGCTTCTGCTTTCACTGATCTGTTCTATTGGTTTTTTTAGTGCTATATCATTTATTTCTGCTCTAATATTTATTATCGCTTTCCCTCTGCTGGTATTAGGTTTTGTCTGTTGTTCTTTTCCTAGCTCCTGTAGGTTTAAGGTTGGGTTGTTCATTTGAGATTTTTCTTGCTTCTTGAGGTAGGCCTGTATTGCTATAAACCTCCCTCTCAGAACTGCTTTTGCTGCATCTCAAAGGCTTTGAACTGTTATGCTTTCATTTTCATTTGTTCCCATGTACTTTTTAATTTCTTTTATTTCCTGGCTGACCCATTTATTGTTTAGTAGCATGTTATTTAACCTCCATGTATTTGCAGTCTTTCCAGACTTTTTTCTTGTGGTTGACCTCTAGTTTCATAGTGTTGTGGTAAAAAAAGGTGCATGGGATGACTTCCATCTTCTTGAATTTGCTTGTTTTGTGGTCTAATATGTGATCTATTCTGGAGAATGTTCTATGTGCACTTGAAAAGAATGTGTATTCTGCTGTTTTAAGATGGAATGTTCTGAATATATCTGTTAAATCCATCTGGTCTAGTGTGTCATTCAAAGCCATTGTTTCCTTGTTGATTTTCTGTTTAGATGATCTGTCCATTGCTGTACATGGGGTGTTAAAGTCCCCTACTTTTATTGTATTACTAATGATTTGTTCCTTTATGTTGTTAACTGTTTTATGTATTTGGGTGCTCCTTTGTTGGGTTCATAAATATTTATAATTGTTACATCTTCTTGTTGGAATATCCCCTTTATTATTATATAGTGTCCTTCTTTGTCTCTTGTTACGGTCTTTGTTGTAGTCTATTTTGTCTGATATAAGTGTTGCTACTCCAGCTTTCTTTTGACATCCATTTGCATGATAGATGTTTCTCCATTCCCTCACTTTCAATCTGCAGGTGTCTTTAGGTTTAAGATGAGTCTCTTGTAGGCAGCATATAGATGGGTTTTTTTTTTTTATCCATTCTGTCACCCTATGTCTTTTCATTGGAGCATTTAGTTCACTTACATTCCAAGTTATTATTGATGGATATGTACTTATTGCCATTTTATTACTTTTTTTGTGGTTGCTTTTGAAGATTTTCTCTGATCCTTTCTTGTCTTTCTTGCTTTTATGGTTTGCTGGATTTCCTTAGTGATATATTTGGATTTCTTTCTCTTTATTCTTTGCATATTAGTGGTTTTTGATTTGTGGTTACCATTAGGTTTGTATATAACATTTTCTGCATATAGTAGTCTATGTTAAGTTGATGGTCATTTAATTTTGAACTCATTCTTTACTCCTCTCCTCCCCATGTTTTAGGTATATAGTGTTATATTTTACATCCTTTTATTTTGTGACTTCCTTGACTCATTTTTTTTTTAACAGAAATATTCATTTTTACTGCATTTTGTTTCCTACCTTCATACTGTGATTTTGGTCTTTCCTTTCCACCCAAAGAGTCCCCTTTAATATTTCTTGCAGGGCTGGTTTAGTGATCATGAACTTTTATTTGTCTGGGAAACTCTATTTCTCTTTCTATTCTGCATGATAGCCTTGCTGGATAGAGTATTCTTGGCTGCAGGATTTTCTCATTCAGCACTTTGAATAGATCATGCCATTCTTTTCTGGTTTGGGAAGTTTCTGCTGAAAAATTCCCTGATAGCCTTATGGGGGTTTCCTTTGTATGTAACTGTCTTCTTTTCTCTTGCTGCTTTTTTTTTTTTTTTTTTAAGATTTTATTTATTTATTTGACAGAGAGAGACACAGCGAGAGAGGGAACACAAGCACGGGGAGTGGGAGAGGGAGAAGCAGACTCCCCGCCCAGCAGGGAGCCCGATGTGGGGCTTGATCCCAGGACCCTGGGATCATGACCTGAGCCGAAGGCAGACACTTAACGACTGAGCCACCCAGGGGCCCCTGTCTTGCTGCTTTTAATATTTTTTTTGTTATCACTGTATTTTGCCATTTTAAATACAATTTGTTTTGGTGTGGATCTGCTTTCATTGATTTTGTTGGGGGTCCTCTGCTTCCTGGATCTGGATATCTGTTTCCTTCCCCAGATGAGGGAAGTTTTCAGCTATTATTTCTTCAAATAAATTTTCTTAGCCCTTTTCTCTCTCTTCTTCTGGGACTCCTATAATATGAATATTATTATGTTTGATGCAGTCACTGAATTCCCTAAGTCTAATCTCATTTTGCATAATTCTTTTTTTCTCTCTTTTGTTCAGCTTGATTACTTTCCATTACTCTGGCTTCTAAGTCATTACTTGGTTTTTCTGCTTCTTCCAGGCTATTCATTCCTTGAGCATGTTTCTTATTTCATTTATTGAGCGCTTTATCTCTGCTATATTATTCCTTATCTCTGTGTTGATAGTCTCACTGCTGTACTCTATTCTTTTCTCAAGTCCCATGAATATCTTTATTATCATTGCTTTAAATTCTCCATCAGGCATGTTACTTATCTGTTTCACATCTCTGGCTGTGGCCTTGCCCTGTTCTTTCATTTGGAACAAATCCCTTTGTCTTCTCATTTTGTCTAAGTCTCTGTGCCTGTTTTTTTTTGTGTTAGGAAAGTCAGCTATGTCTCTTGTTCTTGAGGGTAATGGCTTTGTGAAGAAGAGGTTCTGTAGTGCTCTGCAGTGTAGTGTCTCCCATTCCCCAGGCCCTGGCACTTCTGGGATGTCTCTAATGTGTGCTGTGTACTCTCTGCTATTGTGTCCTGGCTGCTTTATCCTTCAGGCCAGTCATCTGCAGAGGCTCTCTTTGTCGGCTGTGGGCAGTGTTGGTCCCTGGCCTGAATGTGGTGAATTTTAACTAGGTGTGCTCTGGTCTGCTTGTGAAATGAGACCAGTGGCTGCTGCCACTGGAACTAAAGCCTCTCAAAACTCCCGGGTTAGGAGATGTGGTGTTGGCAGGGGTTTGGGTTGGTCTTCTTGGGGAGGGGGCCCACCGCACTGCGACTGAGACAAGCATGACAGAGAAGGGTGGTTTTTCTGGAGTGCACTGGGGCAGGGCTTGGTGTAAGCAAGTCATGTAGTGAGTGTTGGCTCTCCCTCCATAGGTTCCCACAGGTGGCTCTGTTTATGCTGAGGGGCAGAGGGGAGAAATAGCACCTATTAGTTCCTTTGTTCTCAGAGGCATCTCACTGTGAATGCTCCTTCTCTGGGACATGCTCTGAGATTAGCAACTAACCTCTGCACTCTGTGCCTCAGGCGCTCTTCAGATTGTTTCCATGCTGTCTGTCCACAGGCTATTTGCCCAGCCTCTTCTCCAAGAGCAGCCCCAATGTCCTCCAAGCTCTCCCAGAGCCAAGCATGCTGACCTTTAAAACTCCAGGCTTTAAGCCCCATTGGTTGCAAGAACTCATGAAATCTGGGCTCTCTTGCTTTCTAAGCCAATTGCTATGGAGATTAGTTTTTCCCATGCACTCCCCTGTGTGCTAGACTGTCTCTTGCCCTTCTCCATGACTGTGGCTCCCTCCCCACTACAGTGGCCACGATCCATTCTCTCCCAAGCTACATCCCCACACCTCCTGCCTTCTTCGATTTGGCCTCTTCTCTATCTTTAGTTGTGGTGTTTGCTCTGCCAATCTTCAGATCAGTTTCTGGGGTATTTAGGATGATTTAGTAGTATTCTAGTTGTATTTGTGGGATGAGGTGAGTCAAGATCTTCCTACTCTGCCACCATCTTCCCTGTAGTCTCATTTGAATGCATTTTAGAGCTCTATATTTTTACTCTCCCCACCCCACATTTTGTTTTTGATGTCGCAATTTAAATCTTTTTATCTTTTGTATCCAGTAACAAATTATTGTAGTTATGATTTTTTGTTATGTAGTTATTAGTATTAATTATGTAGTATTATTTTTACTATTTTTGTCTTTTAACCTTCATACTAGGTTTACAAGTGATTTACCCATCACCATCATAACAGATTATTCTGAATTTATATATTTATCTTTACTACTGAAATTTATACTTTCATATGTATTTCTTACTAATTAGTACCTCTCATTTCAGCTTAATGAAATCCTTTTAACATTTTCTTGGAAGGTTGATCTAGTGGTGCTGACTCCTTTGGCTTTTGCTTGTCTGGATGACTCTCTCATTCAATTCTGAAGGACAATTTTGCTGCGTAGAGTATTCTTTTTTTTTTTTTTTTAAGATTTTATTTATTTATTTGATAGAGAGAGACATAGTGAGAGCAGGAACACAAGCAGGGGGAGTGGGAGAGGGAGAAGCAGGCTTCCTGCAGAGCAGGGAGCCCGATGTGGGACTCCATCCCAGGATCCTGGGATCGTGACCTGAGCCGAAGGCAGACGCTTAACGACTGAGCCACCCAGGCGCCCTGGGTATTCTTGTATGGCAGTGTTTTTCTTTGAGCACTTTGAATTTGTCATGCCGCTCTCTTCTGTCCTGCAAAGTCTCTGCTGAAAAATCTGCTGATAGTATTAGTGGCATGTCCTCATACATAACAAGTTTTTCTCTTGCCGCTTTTAAGATCCTCTCCTTCTTTAACTCTTATTTATTTATT